GCGCGGTGTCCCAAACCCAGGGCTGAGTGTGGAACTGAGCCACTCAAGGTCCCCCCAAAGAGAAAGCGTTCAGGAGCCCAGAGCCCGGGTCTGGTTTTATTAACTTTGAGACATCCCCACTGCAGCTAAAGGTGTTCCGGGACATCCTTTCTTCTGGGAAGAGGGCAGGAGCAAAGAATAACTAAGACCATCATTTATTGAGCTTTTGCTCCATGCTGGCTCCGCCGGTGCACTTTTTTACTTGGAACAGAATCCAGTCTGGCTCGCCCGTTTCCCCTCACTTCATCACTAAGAGGGACCTATGGCTCAGAGTGACGAAATCGCATGCCCATATTCACGGGATGCAACGCTGGGTTGATTGGGGATGTGTTGCCGTGGGCTACCACTTTGTATTAATTGTCCCCCATTGTAAGATCTGATCCAAGAGCAGGAGACTGAAAAGAAATGGAGACACACACCTCCCACTTGAAGTACCCAGCGGATGAGCAGTTGGAGGAAGAAGGGTGTCCCCTGAGAGCATCCAACCCCCAATAGAGGATGTAGTGTTGGGAGAAGGCGCCTTTGGGCCAGCTGGACAGAGCTGGGGTTAAGAGGCTTCCCCCAGGGTGGCCAAAGTAAGGCTGGGAACCGGGCTGCAAGGCGTGGGGAGCAGCAGCGGGTGGCTGCCAGAGGGCCTCCTGGCTGAAAATGTGCCCAGGCCCCGAGGAACCCGCTTCATCCCCAGTCCCTCTGTCTTCCTGGCCTTGGCTCCTCCGGCAGTAAGGAGGCTTGTCTGGTGTGACAGTGTTGGGTTTCAGGAGCTGCTGTTTGCATTTAGGGAAACTGAGACTCAGAGAGTCCTTCCTGGCCTTCGATGGCCAATGAAAGGGTCCTCTGACTCTGCCGGAATTTGGTTCTTGTAGCTGACGTAGGTCCCTGGCTCCATGCTGTGCTGGTGATGAGGCCTCTCTGTTCAAGTCTCAAACCCTCTGCTTCCGGTTCATCAGACTCTCAGGTGGCTACTCACCCCTGGGTGCCTCAGTTCTCTGAGTCAGTCTTCTTGGCCTCCTACTTGTACCCTCTCGAGGGTCCCTGCTGCTCCTTGCTGTGGTTAGGGCCGCTGACTGGGCTGGGAACCAGGGGAGGTCTTCAGGCCCCTGTGTGGAGGGCCGATTGGGCCCTCTGCTATCCCCCTGACCACTGGTCACCTCCGTACAGTTCGGCAGCCCTCAAGTTCCCAGCAGCTGGTGTCTGTGGGCTCTGAGGGTGTACCCCGAGAGGCAGGCGTGGGTCCCCACCCCGCGGTCAGGGCCAGGGTGGGGAGATGAAGGTAAGGGTGCTGTGGTCTGATGGCAGGAGAGAGGGAGCACAGAGGGACTGTCAGAAGAAGCCCAGGCCTGCGACGAGAGGTGAGGGGCCTCTGTGCTGAATCCTAAAGAATGCCTGGGGACAGAGACAGGCAAGGGAGGGCAGTGCAGGGAAGAATGTTCTAGAAGCTGGGCCCTGAGGAGCTAGGTCCAAAATCGTGGGCTAGAGAAAGGAGTGGGAAGAAGTGACAGGTGGTGGGTGGTGGAAGGCGCTCAGAGATGGGCCAGTGACGTGACAGCTGTCTTCTGCTAAGTCTAAGTTACCATTTCGACACCCCACACTGTCCCCGCCTGCTGAGAGATGCTGCCACCACTTCAGAGACCCACAGCCAGAGAGGGAGTGAGGATTCGAACTCAGGCCTGACGACTGGGAAGTAGGAGAAGTTCCACGGGAGGGCCCCGCACCTGCAGGCCCTGGGGAAGGTGTGTGTCCTATGCCTCCCCCCCCGGCAGGCAGGCGGGGGGCTCCTGCCTGGGTCTCTTTGGCCTGTCCTGCAGCTCACAGGACCTTGCCTGGGCCTGGCTGCTTCCCGGGAGTCAGTCTGTGCGACCAAGAACCCAGCCAAATTTGGCTGCAGAAGCCACACTCAACTCCAGAGGCCCCTCTGGGAGTAAGTGAGGAGGGTGATCGTCCCAGTCCTGGTCCCTCCAAGACGCAGCTGGAAGAAAACTGGTTGTCGTAGAGCCCCCCCACTCCTTTCTGAGCTTTGAGGCCCAGCAAGTTCCAAGGTTGCGGACCCTATCCCTTCACCTGGGGCCACCACCTCCCTCCGTGGCTGGTCTGGGGCTGGGGTGGCTATGGAAACGGTTCCCTGGAACACCTGGCTAACTGGGGGCGAGGCGTGGCCCTCTGTAGATGGGAGGGGTTCTTGGGTATGACCCAGTTACCCTTTGGTTACCTGGGGTGGGAGCTGGACAGGGTGCTCTGGTGAGGCCGCTAATGTGCCCAACTCAGGAGGAGGTGGTGGAGAGGCGACAGGGGCCAGATGATGCCGATGATTGTATTGTGGACGTTTACTGAACAGTGGCCGTGTTCCTGGGCTCTCCCTGTTGGGCTGAGGAGCCTTGTTAACCTGTACCATCTTACAGAGTGACGCCCCGTCCAGGTGAGGAAACCGGGGCTCCCTGAGCTGAACCACTTAGCCAGGGTCCAACAGGCAGCCCACGGCAGGAATGAAAGGCCAGGAGTGTCCCTCTTGGTCACAGTGCTTCCCCTAGACCCTTGGTGCTAAGTTCTCATGGGACACACGGGGCCCAGGAAGGACATCTCACAGGGCTCTCTTCACATTTGACTGCGGCCGGGGCAGCCAGGAGAATGATCTGTCCCCATTTCATAGATAAAGAAACTGAGGTTCAGAGAGGTTCCAATATTCTAATGGGACCAAGTCTTCGGAAGATCTTCAGACTTGGGGTGGGACGTGGCACTCCCCGTCCCCGAGGCTCAAAGAATGTTCCCAACCTCAACACTCTACCTCCCCACACCCACCGCCACCGCCCCTGTCCCTAGCCACCCTTCGCAGCCACTCCTGCCAGAGTTTGTCTGAGAAGCCCAAGCCCCAGGCTCTGCTGGGACTATGGCTTCAGCCCTCAAAATAGCCTGTGAGTGAACGTGCTGTCCCTGGGCCAGAGAGCCTCCAGGGAGGCTGGGCTCACATCTGGATGGATCTGCCCCAACCTGGGCCAGCGAGGGGGGCAGGCGACAGAGCTCCCAGATGGTGGGTCACTAGTCCTCTAGACGGGCTGAGAGGCCGCCAGGTCCATCCTCTGGGCGACGAGCATTTACAGTGAGATTTCGCGCAGCCTCGCGTCCTGGAGACAGAACCGCTAGTTGGCCACACAGATTTCTAGGCCTACTCTCACCAACCGACTGGGTGGCTCTGGGCCTCAAAAGAGGGAGGCCGTGACCTCTCTGGCTTCTGTGTATCCACCTGAGACTGTGGATGGCAGGGCGGGTAGAGACTGCCCCTGTCGGGCGGGGGGACTGG